TGTTCTGGTAAGTTGTAATTCTCTATATATTTTCATTTCTCTTTTTCCAGCTTTGTGGTAGCAGTTTGCTCTGTGTCCCTTTCTCTGATGAATAGGGAGAGTTGCTGATTTTTCAGTTTGTTCAGCTGTTTATTTTTTTAGGACACAGTAGTGACTTACAAATTCCTCATGTCAGACTAAGAAACAAATTGATTTTTTTTATAGTCATTGCAATTACTAGATGATTATCCTTATCTTTTTACGCCTTCCTATGGTAGGTCTGTGAAAAGTCCAAGGTATTTCTTTCTTTCTTTTTTTTTTTTTTTTTTGGTACAGGGGTTCGAACTCAGGACCTTGTGCTAGTGAGGCGGGCTGCAGAACCACTGAGCTAAATCCCTGGCCCCAGTCCAGGGTGTTTCTAAGTCTCTCTAACTTGGCTGGCTTGGAGTAGGCTTTGGGTAATGATGGCAAACCTTTCAATGATAGAAACCGCCTTCTGCAGAGAGTGTGCCATCGATTTGCCACCACCACTGCCTTAGGCATGTGTTTTAGTCCCACTGTAACAACTTTCTGATGTTTCAGTTGGATGCTGGGACTCTTGTCAAGATCTCTCCATTTGAATCAGAGATCCAGTGTCTGTAACTTTCTCTTTCTGGATAGAAAATTCTTTTTTTTTTTTTTTTAAACTTGTGTGCTGCATTGTTTCTGTGATTTTTTCTTTAGAGGGAAGACAATTTAGGGCTTGCTAACAGGGATGCTTTATTTTTATTTTTTTGGTAGTCCAAGGGATTGAACCCAGGTTCTCATATGTTAAGCAAGTACTCTATTATTGAGCTACATCCCTAGTAGCCCTCCAGGAGAACAATTTGTTTTTGAGACAGGGTATTGCTAAATAGCTAAATTGCCCAGGGTGGGCTCCATTTTGCAGTCCTGCCTCAGCCTCCCAGTGTTCTGGGCTTACAGGTGAACATCCCTGTGCTTTGTGCCCATTGCAGGGTTAATCTTAATAGGGTTGTTTGTTGCCATCTGCATGTTTTCTCTGGATTGTTAACAGATGAGAGATTTGAAGGATTTTAGCAAATTTGGGAATACATTGGGTATAACGATCGACTTTATGTGCCTACATAGTCTGGAACTTAGAATATTTATGGGTGAGATAATGGTAATTTGTACAGATAGAACTTACATATTTTGTCCAGTGATGTTGTCTAAAATAGAGCATTAGTTTCTGCAGTGGTATTAAATGACATTTATATTAAGTAGTATTAATAATTGCCTGTCTTCTGAGGCACTCTTCATTACTGTCTGGACCATGCATGCTGGTAGTTTCTGCAGCCACCATGCCCATGGTCTTTTTCTTTGTATGGTTATCCATGTGGCACTTGCCTCTGAAAAGTTATTTCCTTATAGATAAAGTCATCAAAAGTATTTGTCAGTGTCAGCATGTCATATAATCAGCTTATATCTTTTTTTCTCTGTAGCAGTGTGATTTATACGTCTTAACATGAGATTCTACCTACTTTTGCACACGATGATGTCTAAGACTCCTCCAAAAATTGCAGTTACTCCTTAGTCTCAGTGTTCATTGCTGACATACTAGATATTCATTACCCAAGTGGTCTGTCTTTTACTGTTCAGAATGTGGTCAAATTGATAAAGAAGACAAATAATGACAGAAGAAAAAAATATTAACCTTATACTCAGAGACCCTAAGTGGAGAGTGTTGCTTATTAGAGCTAAATGGGATTGTTAACTTGACTTTGGAGTTTGGCCAATTGGCCAAGTCACTGGCTAGATCAGACTGGCAGAGTGGCCCCAGTTAAAGAAGTGAAGATTACTTACTCAATGTAGACAATTTGTTCCTGAGGAGAGGTATGAAGATAAATGAAAAGGTCTCTTTTATTAAATACAAACTAATTAGTGGCAAGGCTAGGAATTAGGCTAACTAGACTTCCTCCTTTTTTCTATCATGTTCTGTATTTTTATAATTAATCTATTTAAATGGATGATTTCTAGCCATGGAATATAAGAATTTAGTGGACTTACATATCCTCTGTCACTAACCCTCTCATTTGGTTGTAATTTTCATTTTGTTAAATAAACGTTCTATATTCACATTTCAAAATCATGTACCTACCTTTTTTCAATCTGCAAAATTTTGTTTTGTTGGAATTAATAATTGCTTTCTTCTTTAGTTGGTTTTTTTTGTTTTGTTTTGGTTTATTTTTTTGGTACCGGCGATTGAACTCGGGTCCTTGTGCTTGCAAGGCAGGCCACCGCACCACTGAGCTAAATCTGGCTCTTTATCTAACTAGACTTCCTCCTTTTTTCTATCATGTTCTGTATTTTTATAATTAATCTATTTAAATGGATGATTTCTAGCCATGGAATATAAGAATTTAGTGGACTTACATATCCTCTGTCACTAACCCTCTCATTTGGTTGTAATTTTCATTTTGTTAAATAAACGTTCTATATTCACATTTCAAAATCATGTACCTACCTTTTTTCAATCTGCAAAATTTTGTTTTGTTGGAATTAATAATTGCTTTCTTCTTTAGTTGGTTTTTTTTGTTTTGTTTTGGTTTATTTTTTTGGTACCGGCGATTGAACTCGGGTCCTTGTGCTTGCAAGGCAGGCCACCGAACCACTGAGCTAAATCCCTGGCTCTTTAGTTGGTTTTTTTTTGTAACACTAATAGAGTTTCAAGATTTCTCCAGTTGTAATAGTATATTGGTATATTGATGCTTAATCAAATTTACCTTTAAGGTCTAGTCTGAACTTCCTGTATGTAAGTACTGTTGCTTTAGTAATCATCTTAATATTTTACTTTGAGTGTTAATCTTTGGTTTTCTGCATCTTGATATTGGGTTAGATCTCATTACCCAGATGTCTTCTTTCTTTTTTTATATGGAGAGCATATTCTCTCATGTTTTGTAGAGCACAAATTCTAATTGTGTCTTGATTAAAAAAATGTACGGGAGATAAATCTTTTGAGAATTTACTTGCCTGTAAATATCCTTAATTATACCTGCACATTTAATTCATTGTCTGAACTGAGTACATCATTCTATACTCGAAATATTTTTCTTTCAGAATTTGATGGTATTGCTATGTTGCTTTTAGTGTTAAGAAGGTTGATACACTTTAAAATCCAGACCCTTTGTATGAAATCTGTTTTTCTCTGGAAGTCCATAGAATCTTTTTTATGGCTATAACTATGAAGTCATGATAATTTGCTTTGCTATAGGTCTCTTTGTGTCATTTGTGAAATATTTGTATGAACTCTTTCAATCTGGAAGTTCATATCCTATCATTCTGGAAAATTGAATAGAATTATTTATTTGAATTACTCTGTTTTCACTATTATAAACTTAAACATAATCTCCACATTTTAGCTGTGCGTTTCTATTCCCAGCTAGCAGTGATGTACCCCAGACTGAAATTCCCCCAAGAGCTCTAGTCTTTGGCCATTGTGTGATGAGTGCAAGATAAGGGTTTGCAGTAATACGGAGGTGACCTGAGGGTTTAACGCTATTTAAGCTGATTTTTGAGAGTCCTAGTCGTTTTATCCCCAGTCTCACTCTTGCAGCAGTATGTATGTGAGCCCTTGGAAGGTCTATAGCATACTTGCTTTGCTGATTTTGCCGCTATTGGCTTTGTGAGATCTAGGTCATATATACATTAGTTCTGGAAATATGTGTGTCATTTTTAATGAATTAAATAAGATCTGGTAGCTGGTCTAATGAGTATGATAAATACTAATGAGGAAAAATGATATTTCTAGGTATTGGCAAACTGAAATATGAAATTATCTTTGATTTTTTGTTGTTTATAAAGTCACGTGTGGCTAAACTACTGTGTTATTTTGTTTATATTATGTGAAAAAAGGCTAAAGTTCAGTTAGAAAATAATGGAAAAATAAATAGAAATTCTTTTTTTCTTACCAACTTTCCTGGGAACCTGAACTCTGTCTGTGGACCCAGTTTACAACCTCTGAATTAATTAGAACATAGTGCTATATGAAGCCACAGTCATAGTTTTATGTTTGTTCAGCCTTCAGGTCTGGGGATATAGCACAACTGTACAGTTCTTGCTTAGCATATACAAAGCCTTGAGTGGTTCAAGCCCCAGCATTGAAAGAAAAATCTTAAAAGAGGCCTCTTTACATGCATGACCCTGATAAGCATTTTCACTTATTCAACAAATATTTATCAAGTTTCAGATAAATGTAAGACATTGGATACCACAGATATATTATGTAAAAAAACAGAAAAATTGCTGTCTGCATGGAGTTGTATTTATTGACTAGAGTGTAGCCTAGATTAGAATAACCTAGCTTGTATACACCACTGTCACTAGAAAAGTATCTGAACGTACATATCCTTCTAATATTATCAGTTTACTTAAAATAGAACTTGAAACATTTTAATTATAAAATATTTATTTAAAAAAATTAGAGAAGATTGATAGGCAGAAAGAAAAAAAAACTCTGCAGAGTCGCTCATTAGAAATGACCACTGTTAACACTTTGGCATACCTATCAGTCTCTTTTCTCATATGTGAATGTACATTTAGATATGCATTTCTTTATAAAATTGGATTATGTTTTAAAAACTTATATTCATTTTTTCATTTTTGTCAGTTTAAAAAATTTTAATAATAGTATTATATTGAATTTTATGAATACAGTATAATTTATACCTTTAGGTTGTTCTTACTGTCCCTTTTCCCCACTATTAAGACTCCAGAGAAATAAAATATGAATTTGAATGATAACCTAAATACTTGGTGTACTTGTAGTGTGAAGTACTTGAAGCAAGGAAGTGAGAAGGCAAAAAGTTTTGCACATACTGTACTATTTTAAGTTATAATTGCTTATATTCTATCTCCTTTTAAAAGTGATTTATAAATAAGTGTTTAGCTCTGATACGGTCATTGTTAAATAATACATGAAAATCTTAGTACAGACATGTTGTCTGTTATTTTCTGGTTATTCAGCCAAATCCTTTTGTTTACAGCTGGGATCAAAATGCAGAGAACTCAAAGATATTCACTTTGGCCAGTGTTACAAGATCTCCGATGAAGGCATGATTGTCATAGCTAAGGGCTGCCTGAAACTACAAAGAATATACATGCAGGAAAACAAATTAGTAAGTACTTGTTTTCATTTTCATGCCATTCATTTTGTTTCTAACCTTTGAATTCCTTAAACTTCAGTTGTACATTTTCTTCTGAATTTTCTTTTGGTAGTTGAGAGACAAATGCTACTTTTAAAAAACATTATCTTAAAACTTTGACTTTATGTGTTTTTTGTTTTTTGTTTTTGGTACCGGGAATCAAACTTGGGTCCTCACCCTTGCCAGGCAGGCGGTGGAACCACTGAGCTAAATCCCTGGCAAAACACTGACTTTATAAATTAGTTCTGTAACCAAATAGATGCTTGTACATGGTACTTGATTTTTAAACAGTCCTCATTAGCATGTGCTAATGTGTCTTTTTCTAAATTCGGGTATTACTTAAGCAAATTGGAAAATACAAAATTGATCTCCCAAATATATTTGTGGTTATATAGTTCTTTCTGATTCCCCTAGGAATTATAATTATTCTAGATAATTAAGATTTAATGTAAAGTTAAGAGTGTACACTTGTTAAATAGAGCTTTACTTAACATGATGAAAATGAGATTCAGTAAGTTGGGTCAGATAATCATGATAATTACCTAGATTTTATATGTTAAGCCCATACATTTGTAACTCATACACATGTATTTAATATATTTAAAACCATTCAATTTTCTTTTATTGATATGTAATTAACGTAAGACCCTTTTAAAGAATATAACCCATAGAGTTGTGCAGTTTTACCAATATCTAATCCCAGAACATTTTCATTATCCTTGGAAAGAAACCATCTGTCCATTAACTGCCATTTCCCTTTCCTCTTTTCTCTAGCACCTGACAATTGCTAATCTCCTTTATGTTTCTATGAATTTGCCCATTCTAGACATTTCCTAAAGATGGAATGACTTCTTATGTAGTCTTTTGTGTTGTGTCTAGTTTCTTTTATTACATCATATTTTCAAGACTCAATGATGTCATCTGTATCAGCTTCATTTTATGGCTGAATAATATTTGAAGTTTAATTTTCATTTGAAGGTGTACTCTACAACTTAACAGAAAAAGATGTCATAAGGGTGGCACTAGTAGGAATTTTCAGAATTGAAAATAGTGTAATTAAAATGTTGACAGGCTAGTCCTGAGTGTGTAGCATATTTATAAAGAAAACTTATTTTTAAATTGCATCTAAAAATGTAGAGATATTTTTGTTGCCCCTTTGAATTACTTTATGCCATTTGATATTTAATAAATATTTCATATATGAACTTAAGTTTGGAAAGGTTCCTTGAGGTATCATTTCTAGTGAAATGTCTATTTTTGAAAAATTTGAGAAAAATTGAGACTGTGATAAAAAGTAAATGATTTAAAACCATTTAGAATATTTTTTCCCTTGAAAATTGGTAATAAAATTAGTTCATATTATTTCTTTACATTTTTGTATAAATATACTCACCTGAAGTTGTATAATTGTGTTAGGTCTCCTGGGTCAGAGATATTGAATTTTTCACTTTCAATATCTACTCACTTGCCTTTAACCCCAGAAAAATTGCGCAAAGTCTTTAAACATAATTTGTAAAAGAAAGATTACACAGCATTTGTCTTTTTGGGGCTATAGTTTTTATGGTTAAATAACATAATATCTTCAAAGTACATAGTATAAATTGATTTATTAGAGATACTAAAAATCTAATATTTTTTATGATATCACTAAGTTTTTTAAAATGTTGGTTTCTACTTTATATAAAGGATAGTAACCCTCAGTTTAAAAATTTTTTATTCTTTAAAAATACTTGTAGATTTTTGACTAATATTTCTTTTCTTGTGTAAACACAGAGAAACTTTTTTATAGGCACAGTAAAGAATTTTTAGCTAATGGTTTCTCAAAGGAAGTAGTTGTTTGGAGGTTTTCCTTCACTTTCACTTAAGTTTTTATCTAGTATATTAAAAAGATGTTACTTAAGTACTGAGGTCATTGGTTCAGGATTTACTGTAATCCATTAAATATTTTAATTTCCTTAGGAAGTTGAAGTAATGCTGCTAAATCATTTTTTTTTTTTTTTTTGAGACAGGGTCTCACTATGTAATTGAGACTGACCTGGAACTCACTATCAGCCCAGGCTGGTTTCGAACTCAGTGATCTTCTTGCCTCAACCTCTTGAGTGCTGGGATTACAGGCATGTACCCCCACACCCAGCTCAATTTTGCTAAATCTAATTTTTTTTTGGTACCGGGGATTGAACTCGGGTCCTTGCGCTTGCAAGGCAGGCCACCGAACCGCTGAGCTAAATTGGTAACTAACTTTCCATAGGAAATTTACATTCTATCTTTGAAATTTATGAAATAAGGAGAAATATTTAAGTTACTTTCAAAGCTGCAATTTTTAGTAGTTTGGCTGTTTTCATTTAGAAAAGTACTATTAGTCATTTAAAAATAAGTTTTTTTATATTAGCAACCAAGGGAGGTTTCCAGAACAGTGCACCGGAAAGGATACCAAAAGAATTCTACCTATGCTTTGGCAAATACTCAGACTATTTTCTCAGAGAGTCATGGAGCTTCATTGCATAGTTTAAGAAATCATAATATAATGTTTTTCTTTTTTTAAGTATAAACTTTGCTGACTTGAAATAGCAAGTTGATTGGTTTTTGTACATTGACAATATTTAATTTAGCAAACGTCTTTTCATATTATATTTTGGCCTTTAGATGGCAGCATTGTCTTTGTATATTTTGGTGATAGAGCTTTTGTGTCCTTGATGTAACTATAAAGATAAAATGCTTATACAGTTTCTGCTGATGTTATGTTTCATTTTTAAGTTTTGCCCTTTAGCTGATCTTAAGGGAAAAATTTCCTGTTCAAGTCATATGAAACATCTAGTTGTATCTAGTTCATCAACCTGACCATTTTACATGAAATAACAAGATGTTTGAACATTCTTACTTCTGTCCCTGACTTAAATAGGATAAATTTTAGAACAGGGAAAGGATTCCTATATTTATCAGAGGAAGAAATTTTCTCATGGAAAATGAAGAAAATAATTTGATATTTTAAGACTCAAGTTACGGTAAAAGAAAGAATTAAGGACCTGCATACAGAATATTCTCAAAAGAAAGTAAGTTTCTGTCTCATTCATTTTTTTGAGTAAGACAAGTACCATGTACCTATATAGATACATTTTATGTTTGCTATAAAACTTGTGTAGACTCTAGAAATAGATTTGAGGAATTCAAATATAGGTATAGTCTAGCATATTGTATGTATCTGTCTGTCCTCTAGTGATAGCTTTTATGTCATTTCTGTGTAATACTTGCCAGCAAGATATTTTAAGTCATATTTACTTAGGACATTATTTTTGTCCATTTTCTGTTGCTGTGACAGAATGCTTGAGATTGGATAATTTATTAAGAAATGAAGATTTATAGTTAATGTAGACAAAGAAGTCCAAGAGCCTGATACCAGCTGTTGAGGGCTTTAGTTCCATGCAATCCTGTGGCAGAGGGGGAAAGGCAAGGGAGAAAGGGAAAGAGAGAGAAAGGTGGGTTTAGGGAGGGAGAAAGCAGAAAAAAACAAGCAGGGGGGATTGAAGTGGCTTTTATAACAATTTAGCTCTTGTGAAAAGTAATGAATTCTCATCATAAGCAGCATTAATACATTACTAAGGACAGTGCAAGTGACCTAATCACCTTTTAGTAGGGCTCACCTCTGAGTGGTATTGCATTGGAGATTAAATTTTCAACACAAGGGTCACATTCAAACTGTAGCAGTTGTATAGTCATTGGTGATCTGAAAACCATTTTCTCTGCTTCTTTAATCCCCCTGTACCAGATTCTGCTTTTCTACTTTTTGGATATACAAGCTCTTAGGCTGGGTTCATATTTGGTTGTAAAATGATGAGTTCAGATAAATTATCTTTCATTTGCTATATAGCCTCATGTTTTAAACTACTGGAATTTTATGATTTATTTCAAATATAACTTCTGTGATAACTCCTAGGGTCAGCTTATTTGTTATAGGTTTGTGTATGTTATGTGTGTCTTTGGTCTGTTATCTTTTTAAAATACTTTTTACTCTGAAAAATTGAAGTGCTATAGATTTCTCAAACATCAAGAAAATGCTGTATTCATAATACAATACAATGTATTGTATTTCTAGAATAGATTCTAGAAAGTTTCAGGAATATGTTAGAGGTATTCTAGTTAAAATTTGATTACTGAAAGTTAATTTTTTTCCATTAAGTTTATTGGTACATTTTAGGTATACAATACCGTTACATTCATCATTAGGATCTTGTACCTTTACATGATGTATCTTGGTTCTTATTTTTTCCCTTGCACTCCCTTCACACCTTCCACCTTTCCTTATTTACAAAGTCTTTGTTTCCATGTTTTCCTTTTTCTCACATTTTTTCATTTCCCTTCTTTCTTTTCCCTATTCCTCCCACTTCCCCTACTCCTTTAGATATTTTCTTCCTGTTTCATAATATCAATCATACATTTTAATCCTTATTTATGCTTTTAGTCTTTCACACCAGAGAAACTATTCAGTATCTACATGTGTGTCCTATTTATTGCACTTGAGTATGGCCTCAGTGTGCATCTATTTAGCTATAAATGTCTTTAGTTTCTCGTTCTTTATGGCTGAGTAGTACTCCATTTTATAAAAAACCACATCTTTATCCAGTCTCCAGTTGTTGGGCAGTTGAACTGTTTCCAAGTTTTAACCATTACGAACTGTGCTGCTATAAACATGGGTGAGCATATATCCCTGTGGCATGATTCTTTTAATTTTTTGGGGATAATACCCAGCAGAGGAATAGCTGGGTCATATGGGACCTTTAGTCCTAGTTATTTGAGGTATCTCCATATTGATTTCCACAGTGGTTGCACCAGTGTGCACTCCCATCAACAATGAAGAAGGTTTCCTTTCTCCCCACATCCCCACCAGCATTTGTTATATTGGTTGATTTCATGATAACAGCGATTTTTTCTGGGGTGACGTGGAATCTCAGCATTGTTTCTCATGTACATCTCTGAAA